ACTTCCTCCTGGTCACTGGGTTACAAGAAGCTGGCCAGAGCAGAGGCTCACATGGCACAGATGAGTGGCTGAAGCTACATTTGTTTGGTTGCACTCTGCATAAACTGTTAAAAGTATCCAAACTGAAGGTAAAAAGCAGCGCAGGGATGAAATAAAACTAGTATCCTAGATGAGACAAGAAATCATGAAATCAGCCGCATCCTAGAGTAGCCTTAGCAAATAGGTAGAGGTCAACTTGAATTTGGAGTTGATTACAAAGGCTTGGACACCTCCCAAGACTCGGGGAGAACCAGACTTTCTATAGATCCCTACCAAGATGATGCTTTACTTTGTCACTGGGGAATCTCAGGCCTGTGGTTTCAGACTCCAGAAAGAGCCACATTTTGGGGTTGGCCAGAGTCAGGCGGGGGTCAAGTCAGTTTATCCCTTAGAGACTATAGGTTCAGTGTTCAGGTATGCTGGCTTTTGAGAAACCAGTGAAGTAACTGTTGTATAAGAAAAATTGCAGCTCTGTGTGTTGGTAAGGTGCCTATGACTACAGCACTTGAGAGGCAGAGGTAAAAGTGTAAGTTCTAGGATAACCTGACTTCATAGAACCTGCTCTGCCCTACAGAAATAAAACAGGAATGTACTGACTTTGAAATCTACAAAGTAGAACAAAATCAAAATTAAGAAGCATTTTCTTAAATATCTATAAAGTATAACATTATGTCCACTTGCTAGGAATCATAAACATGCTCATACCCTGGAAAAGATCCTGTAGGCTTTTTTTTTTCAATTAGCCAGAATTGCCATGTAGATCTGTTAATTCTCAGGAACTCATAGCCAGGGACTGGAGAGATAGATCAATGGTTAATAGAAGTTGATGCTCTTGCAGAAGACCAGGATTCTGTTCCAGCACCCATATGGTGGCTCACAACCATCTGTAACTCCATCTCCAGGGGATTCAACCCTCTTCTGACTTCTACAGGTACCATATACATGCATGCAAGCAGAACACTCATACACATAAAATGAAATAAACAAATCTCTTTTTAAAAATTTAAAAGGAAATTAAATTGAACAACTCATCATTATATAATATCAAGAGCACAATTATGGATGCATCATATGACTTAAATTTTTTTTTATTTATGTGTATGAATGTTCTCCTGGGTGTATCTATGAGAACTGCTGTGAAATGATCTTCCTGTACACTGTGAATATGTGTTGCTCTTATTGTTTGATAAATAAAGCCACTTTGGCCTATGGCAAGGCAGGATAGAGTCAGGTGGAACATCCAAGCAGAGATACAGAAGAAGGGCAGAATGTGAGAGATGCCAACAAGCTGCCAAGGAAGCAATACTTTTAAAAGATGAGGCAACAACCCACAAACACAAATCATGTGGCAAAACATAGATAAAAAATTACAGGTTAATTTAAATGCAAGAGCTAGCTAATAATAAGCCTGAGCCATCAGCCTAGCATTTATAAGTAATATTAAGCTTCTGAGTGGTTATTCAGGAACTGGCGAATGAGAAAAAAAACCTCTGATTACAGTGAACCATGTACATGCATGCCTACAGAGTGGGGGGGGGGTCATATCCCCTGGAGCTGAAGTTAGATGGTTGTGAGCCATGTGGGTGCTGGGAATCAAACTGAGGACTTCTGTAATAGCAGCAAGTACTCTTAATCAGTAAGTCAGTGGTTCTCAACCTATAGGTCAAAACCCCTTTGGGGGCGGGGGGAGGCTAACAACCCTTTCACATCCATCACCTAGCAGATATCATGCATATAGAATATTTACATTACAATTCATAACAGTAGCAAAATTACAGTTATAAAGTAGCAACAAAATGTTTTATGGTTGGAGATCACCACAACATGAGGAACTATTTTAAAGGATCTTAGCATTAGGAAGGTTGGGAGCAGTCAGGACCCAAAAAACATGAGCTTATTCCACCTTGTCTGAAAGCCAGAGAGTTTGAGCTTATTTTTACTCTTTCAAAGTTGTTAACAACAGGTGTGGCTACAAAACAAAGTATCCTGACCTAGGGTGTGGTTACTTGATGTTTTGGACCTTAAGACTTCCCGCAGAGGTCGATTCACTCCACTCGACCCAGAGGTCACAGGATTCAAGCGCTCCTTCTTTTGAAATAGGAGGTTTGACTAAGGGAGTGGATGCCTGCAGGAGATAAGGTCTAGGGTGTGTTCACTGCTCCAGACAGCAAATACTTTTCTCAAGAATTAATGGCTTGATATCTCAAATATTAAGGCAAGTAACTGTTCTGGTTGTCTTTTGTGTCATGTTGAAGCAGTCTTTTGCCTTCTTCCCCCTTTTGTATTGGAATATAAAAGTGTATGGAAATTAAACATGGGTGAACTCAGAACTCATAATTCAGCATCCAGTATTCGCTGAGTTGCCTTCCTGTTGCTATCCTGTGCCTCTGTGTTTCTTTCTTATTTCTGTTCCGCCTACCAATTGTTTCTAATCCTCATGCCCCTACCCTGGGACATACAAATCCACCATGGCTAGGATCACAGCAGAAGTCTCCCCAAAAACATGGTTCACGACAGAGAACCGCTGTTCTAAGCAAACTCTCTGACCCCAATCTTTGAACACTTTTATATACAAATTCTGTTGTTATTTACTGTGGGACAAGAGAGCATTTCAGTTTGCTTACTATGACATAAGGTGTGGTCTCCAAAGGAAGAAGGCAGGGCCCTGTAGCACTGCAGTGGGTCCCCCCTCTCATCCAATGTGAGTGTTCAGGGAACTCAGATGCAGCAGAGTAAGGCCAGGATCAGCTTGGGATCCCTTGTCCAGTACTATCTACTTGCTCCAGGGATCCCTTGTCCAGTATTGTCCATCTACCTGCTCCAGTCTGCCAGCCCAGACTTTCTCCCAAGGCGGAGGCCCTCTCCCTCTGACCAAGAAGGATGGCATCTTTACTTTTTACCAGACATCTATTTCCAAGTGCTATCTACAAAACTTGACTCTGGCCTCTTAAGGCCATAGTTCGTGGCCAACCCCACTTTCTTGCAGCCCACTGACTGAGCTGAGGTGGGCTGTATCCTTCTGTTCCTCACACCTCAGCTGAAGAGATCGGCTTCGCCCAGGTCTTCTCTTTTCCATAGCATTTCAAAGTCACGCCCCATCCTGACTGCCTTCTCCACAAGCCAGTTAGTCACAGGCCCGCATATACACAGAGTGAAGCTCAAACTGAACTTGGTTCCCCTCACTCCCACTCCCCAGGGAAGCCCGGCTAACACACAGCGCCTAGGTCTCTTGGCTACTGTACATGTAGGCCCGTCTGACGGATAGATTTTCCTCTCAGAATCTGCTTACTGAAGAAGAAGCAAGGCTAATGGCACAGTAAAAACAATAATAGCAATGGCAGTAAATAAAAGACTGAGGCAAAAAGAGGTTAATAGCCTGCTCCAGGCTCTAAATAGGATGTGTGTGTGAGTGTGTGTGTGTGTGTGTGTGTGAGAGAGAGAGAGAGAGAGAGAGAGAGAGAGAGAGAGAGAGAGAGAGAGAGAGCGCACACGCGCATGTGTACTAGAGAGAGAGGGCACATATGTGTAAAATATAAGAAGGCGGTGGTGGGCATGGAGCTGGAGAGAGGGTTCTGCAGTTAAAAGCACTGACTGCCCTTCTGGAGGACCCAGGTTCAATTCCCAGCACCCACGTAGTGGCTCACATCTGCCTGTAACTCCCATTCTAGGTAGCCCGACACCCTCACAAAAACATGCACGCAGGCAAAACATCAAAGCACATAAAATAAAATGAATACCTTTGTGAGGTTGTTAATGAGGGTTGAAATGACTTAATACAGAAAGTACTGGGAAGTTGGGTGGAGTAGCACACTCCTGTAATTCCTGCACTTTGGAGGTGGAGGCAGGAAGACCTCCAGACTAACACCAGCCAAGGTCACACAGTGAGAAACTGTCTCAGTGCTGGATTCCCACCCGTCACTGGTAAGTGACATTTTAGTTATTAAAGCACCATGACCAGAAGCGGCTTGAAAAGGAAAGGGCTTATTTCACCCTACAGATTATAGTCTACCACTGAGGGAAGTCAGAGCAGAAACTTGGGGCAGGAACCTGGAAGCAGGAACTGAAGCAGAGGCCACGGAGGACCACGCTCCTCGCGGTTTGCCTCTCGTGACTTGCTCTTCCTGGTTTCCCCAACCTGTTTTCTCGTGCCGTCCAGGACCACCTGCTCAGGGGTATCACAGTGCTCATACCTCCCACAATCATCAACCAAGAAAACGCCCCACATACTTGTCTATGGGCCAGTCCTATGGAAGCATTTTCTCAATTAATATTTCTTTTCCCCTAAGGATTGAAGCTTGTGTCAAGTCAACAAAACACTAACCAGCACAGTGGTATTATCTTAAGCAACAATCATCGTTTGCAGGTCATAACAGCACTCACGCAGCAAAGCAGTTGTTCTATGTATCTGCTTTTTAAAATGTGTGCATTGTTGTTCTGCTTTATTAGAATATAACATGAGGCCAGGAAGTCATTGGCTTGTCACTGCTGAGTTTGCCAGTATTTGAATCCTACACAAAACGCCCTCCATAAATATTTTATTCAGTGAACAAACCAGGATGTGGAGAGGCAGTAAATACTTTGGCTTCCATTCACAGACTCTACAAATATTTACCGAGCACCCACTCTCTACCAGGCAACAGGCACTCTATCATCTATGACTACTGGCTGGGCAAAGATTTTAAATTTAAATCTTATTTAGAGTTCCGGGCAGAGTTAAGTGGACCCACCACAGGTTTTGAAAAACCCTCTAGCGGAACCCACGCTCGCATAAAGAAACAGAACTTTGCTTCCCGGGATAGGGAGAACCTTGGCGCCTCGAGATGAGCCGAAACTCGGGTTGAGCAATCCCGGGTCGCTAGGGAACCTCTTCTCCTCCCCACGCAGCGGGGGCGAGGCGGGGGCGGGACTACAAGTCCCAGGCTGCTCAGCGCGCCGCGGCCCTGCAGAGGGCGCGGCGCGGGGAGGTGGGCGCTGCTGCGGCGGCCCGGAGGCGCGGGGCTCGGGCGCCGTCGGCGGGGTATGCCGGGGGCCGGGGAACGCGCGGAGGAGGGCAGTGGTGGCGGCGGCGAGGAAACGGTGCCGGTAACCAGCTCCGAGGCCGGGGCGGTGGCGGGGCGGGAACCCTCGCGGCTGTGCGGCTACCTGCAGAAGCTCTCGGGCAAGGGCCCGCTGCGCGGCTACCGCAGCCGCTGGTTCGTGTTTGACTCGCGTCGCTGCTACCTCTACTACTTCAAGAGCCCGCAGGACGCTCTACCGCTCGGCCACCTGGACATCGCCGACGCCTGCTTCAGCTACCAAGGCCGGGATGAGGCTGCGGAGCCCGGAGCCGAGCCACCCACGCACTTCCAGGTGCACAGCGCTGGTGCAGTCACGGTGCTCAAGGTGGGACAATCGCGCCCCGGTGCCCACTCGTGTCCCGCCTGTAGATTTCCCTCTCCACCTTCGTTCCTTCCTTGCCCCAATGGCCTCCTCCTATCCTGCCCAAGCCTCCCTTCGCCTCTGTCCATTCTGATTCCTTCCTCATTCTTATCTTTTGCTCTTTACCTGTGCTTAAACGTTGAGGCTGGGGCAGGCTTGGGGGATTATTCAGTCAGGTCTTTGACACTTTGACCCTTTATCTCCTTCTACACCCTCGGTTCCTCCCGTGCCCACCCTCCCCGTCCAGTGGACGCTCAGGGTAATCCCTCCCACAGTTGTAGGCTTCCACCCTTCACCCCTGCCTTTTACAACTCTGCCTGTGACCTTGGTCATGCCCTTTGGGCTTTAGCTGCCTGCCCTGTAAAGTGGGAACAGCGGTAATAGCGGTCTCATAGGGGTTCTGGGATTAAGTGATTTCCACTCTAAAGTGCTCTGTAAATGTTAGTGCTCTAGCCAAAGGCAAGTGATGGCAGGGCCCCCAGAGATAATTTACCACAGCCCCTCCAGAGAGGTCGGGGATGCCCCAGCCTTGCTCACTCCGGCTATGCCTCTTGCTCCTTATTTTGGCAGGGAAAGGTGGGAGGGGTTGCTTCAGCTTATGGGGGGGGGAGGTCTTTCTTAGGCTTCCCCACAGAGATTGAGCATTAGAGGCTTGAAAAGAGTCACCAGTCCTGGGGCAGCTTTCCCTGTTGCTGAGAGTTCCAGAGACCAGGACCTTAACATCTCCTAGGGATTGCCCTGATGAGAGCACCCAGGGTTTGGGCCCCGGCCTAGAGCTGGGCGCCCCCCCCCCCCTTCTAGCCCATGCTCCCAGCTTGATTCCCTGAGTCTCCACCCTCTCTCTTTCTGGCTTCTCTTCCGTATTGCAAGCTGGGCTTTCTCCAGAGCAACAGGGCTGGGCTTGAAGCAGCAGCACTCTCCAAGCTGGCCAAGTGGAGAGCTGAGTGGCCTGGTGAGCATGCAACTGTTGCTGAGATCTGCAGAGCCTGCAGCAGCTGGAGCTGCTCCCTGGAGCTGGTTCTCTGTCTCCTCAGCAGGGTCTGATCCCCAGGGTCTCCTGGGCCCCTCTCTCCACTCTCTTGGGTAGGTGCATAAAATGTTTCTCTGAAGGAAGCCAGGCAGGCCTGCAGTTCAGCTCGAGGTAACTTAGTGTCTGTGTGAACTTGGGACTGACTCCAGAGTGTCCACAGGGACTTTTGTCAGAGGCCAGCGCTTGTCCTCTGTGTACATGTGGACACTGGTGATTTTCCGGTGGAATTGTTTGTTAAAAAAGAAAACTGAGCTTCCTGTTTCAGATTTTCTCAGATAACTTTAGAATCCTCTCCCCACCAGCTCTTTCATTTTGAAAACATCTAAATAATGGCAGTATCTGCCTAAGTGCAGTTCCAGTGCCTAATGTTAGGAGTACAGCTTTAGACCTGGATGGATTTGAACTTGCAGCCTAAGTCATCCATCATGTGTGTTGTACACATTTGATCCCTCTCTGTCTACTTCCTGCTTTGATCTAATGGGAATTTTACTTTGCTCCTTGAGTGGATGTGGGGGATCTAGTAAACATGGAAAGAGGCTGGTACATTATAAGCCCTGCCTGGCAGACATATAGAACATGCGGCACTATCGTTAATCAACCCTGTTATATAGTCATTATATTCATATAGTGGCATGTTCTGGGTAGTGAATAGAGTTGTGTGTGTTGCTCTGTGTGCCTGTCGCAAACATAAAACTGAGCAAGAAATAAAAAGTTTCAAGAATGATACCTTTTATGTGACGATTAAGTTTGTATGAAGAATTACATCCCGAGAGGATCTATGCTGTGCCCCGCAGGGGGTTGGGAAGCTATGTCCAAGTGACAAGCCCTGGCTTCAGGGTGGTAGATAACTGATAGGAAGAGGATTGTGGAAGGGGATGGATGTCCTGGGGCATCTACTTCTGTTTTGCAGTGTTCTTCATCTTAGCCTAGGTCATAGCTATACCAGGGTTTGTTCTATTGTTCTGCTTACCTTTTTGTAGCCCTGACTGGCCTTAAACTCACAGAGATTCAGCTGCCTCTGCCTCCTGGAAGCTGAGATTAAGGGTGTGCACCACGACACCCAGTTCAGAGTTAAACCTTTTTTTTTTTTTTTTTTTTTTTTACATGTGTGAGTGTATGGATATGTACCTGGTTCCTTGCAGGGACCTGAGGAGGATACGTGAAAACTGGAGTTACTTATGGGTATGAACTGCCATGTGGTGCTGGGAACCGAACCAGGGTCCTCTGTAAGAGCGAGTGCCCATAAGTGATTAGCCATCTCTTTGGCCCCTGTGACTCTCTTGTTTTGCATTTTTTTAAAAAGCTGGGGGAAGGGTACACCTTTGCATGAGTTACTGACCCACCTGATTCTCATTCAGAATTTCACAGACTTCATGAATACTCATGCATGGTTTTTTAACTTATTTTTATTTTATGCCTACATTTATGTAAGTGTGTCATGTGTGTCCTGTGCCCATGGAGACCTGAAGAATTAATCAGATCTCCTGGAAGCAGAGTTACAGTTGGGAAGCACCACATAGTTGCTGGGAACTGAACCCAGGTCCTCTTGCAAGAGCAGCAAATGCTTTTAACCACTGAACCATTTCTCCAGGCCTCGGGCAAGACAGTTTTGTGTATGTAAAATTGGAGAACAGAGACAGGATGTCTGAGTGTTGGCTTGATGGAAATGGTGGGGATGGAAAAGGGAGGGCTTTCCAAAGGAAAAGATCAACTGAGATGTAGGGTTTCAGAATCAGGGTGTTTTGTCTTTTAAGTTAAGAGGCTGGGGAGGTGGCTCAGTTGGATAAAGTGTTTGCTTGGAGGGAAGAGGACCTGAATTTGATCCCGAGCACCCAACCAACAGCTGGGCATGGTATTAACATACCTATAAGTCTGCCAAGAGAACCAGGTGGATCCAAGGCTCTCAGGCTAGCCAGCCTAGTCATCTAGTGAGCTCCAGGCTCATTGATCTCCAGCCTACACTCATGTGTGTGTGTGTGTGTGTGTGTGTGTACATGTACACACATACACAAGAGCACAGTAACCCCTTTTGAGCTTTTGGAATAAAGTGGTTGCTGTGGGAGACTGGAAAGTAGCAGTCATCTTCTCACGAGATCTGATTCCCATGAGCGTGGATGCTTCCCCTCAAGGGCTGCCCGCAGGGGAGACCCTGGCTTCCAAAGAGCTGGAGAGGATTTATATCTGTTTCAGTTCAGGAATAACTGTGCAGATGCCATTTCTTCTGAAAAGGAATGGGTTAAAAAGAGGAGAGAATCAGTGATTCGCTTATTATATTATCATGTGTTTCTTATTTTAAGTGTCTTTTCAGTCTTCTCGGGAGAAGCTGTGGCTTTGTCGGGTTTTTCAGAATGCCTTACTGCTTAAGTCTTAATGAAAGCTGATACTGGAATTTCTTGGTAAACTCCTCAGTTCTTAAAGTCAGGGATCTGGTCCAGAGCCCTATTTTACAGATGAGGGGAAAGAGGCCCATCAAGGGGCTGTGATTTGCCTGAGATCACAAGGCTGGACTCAGACTATCTGAGAGCAGAGTCTCTGGAAACAGGGAGTGCCCCAGTTGCGTTATCTGTTTTGGCAAATCTCTCTCTCCAGACTCTGGTACTGTTTGTTTTGGATTAGGTAAGGTGTAGGGGCTTTTTCCCCTTCGCTGCATTTTGGTCAGTCCTTTTATGTCCGGGAACATTGTCCTGCCTGATTTTACTAGAATGGCTGTGCATTACGTTGAGTAGACATTTGGAAACGGCTGCAAAGGCCTGGAGGAGGCAGATGCTTCCTGTGCAGTGTATACGATGTGCTGCTGGAGGCTTCTTTCCCAACTTCCCTGGGACCAGAGGCATGGAGTTATTTCTGGATTGAGCTGGTACTTGGGGATAAGAAAGCATGTGACTGAATGTGGGTAAAGTTTGAATAACCCATGCTCCACAGTTCTTGGAGCAAGATACATCATCAGACTGGCCGCAAATGAATTCCCCTCCCTCTCCCCCTCTCTTGGAGGCATGTGGTACTCACATGAACATGTCTGTTGCCTGTTGGTTTCCAAATCACACGTAACTGAACAACTATGCATCCCTATTCTTAACCCTATTTTGTGGGGAAAGGCCCATTCCCTCGTGTCGAGCGGCTTTCAGCTTAACGACAAAACATTTGTTAGTGTGGATAATGATAGTGTGCACAACACGGAATAGATGTGGTAAACCAGCCTTCCTTGGTGAGTGGCTCTGCTAAGCTGTTCTGCACTAAGTCTTCTGTGTAGGGTCTTGAAGCATTATTTAAATCTTAAGTTGTGGGAACCTGGCTTTTCATAGATTTGTTATGGTTTCTCGGGCAGTCAGTTCCTTAAAGGCGAGTATACCTGCTCAGGTTCCTGATACAGTTGATTTCCGCCCCACGGCCTCTCACATACTCCTTGCCCTGGGGAGCCTCTGCCATGCGGTGCCCAGTCTAGCTCTCTGAGGACTTCTCAGAACTCTACCTGGCATAAAGTAGGTGTGCTGTAGACTGAGTGAATAGTCACTGTCTCTCAGAGTCTCTGTGCTGAAGCCCTGACTCCAGAGTGTCAGTGATTTGGAAGGTGGGACCTGCATGAATGAGAATAAGCTCCATAAGAACAGATTCCAGAGAGAGGGCATAGCATAAACGTTCCCTTCCTCACACATTTAGTGAGAACTCGTGTGTTAGAACCAGGTAGTGCCAGATCTCAGATTCACAGGCCCTTGCCAGGGACTACATTGGCCAGCGTCTTGGTTTTGGATGTCTTGGCATTCAGAACTGTGAAGAATAAGTTTCTGTTTAAGCCACTCAGTCTTTGACATCATTGTCATCGTCATCGTCATCCTTGGTATGTGTGGTGTATACGTGTGAATGGCACGTGCGTGTGAGTGATTATGTGTGGTGTATACGTGTGAATGGCACGTGCGTGCGAGTGATTATGTGTGGT